AGACTAGCTGTTGAGCCTCAGCCACTGCAATACCCATACTGTTGCAATACTTAGGGCTACCAGTTTTGCTCAGTTCTTCTGCCTTTCCACAGCTGACTTTCACTTTCAGGGTTTATAGTACTTCCTTTCTCTCTTCCTTTACTTCACCACTGCTTATTAAATAACTTCAGAGATCCGAATGCTTTAAGATGCCAAAAAGTATGCTCGTGTCCTATCAGAGGGGATTTCCACATACAAAAACATATTCCACATACTTGACCAATAGATATTACGTACACACATCCATTTGTACACATGGCAGTTCAAAGTGTAAAATGAATTTTAACGAGCTAAAACATATCCAATGCAACTTTTTTTTTTTAATTTAAACAAGGATCAGTTATACCTTATGAACCTTTGCTCATGTGCCTAGTTGCAAGTCACACAGAAACTAAAGGAAGCAGAGAGAGGAAGGAATTATGACAATAGAGAAACAGAGAGCACTGAGAAAATTCTTAGGAGTGTGTAGCTGCCACTCAGTCATTTAAACAAAGACAAACAACACTAATGCACTAGTAAAGTGAATAATAAGGACCAGTAAATTAAAGCCTACTCCACCAACGCAAAATGAAGGGGAAAAAGAGCTGCAGAGATGCATGTTTTTCCCTGTTACATCAGGTATTTAACAGTGCTGCTCTGTTCATACCTATCATATAAAGGGATTGGTTTAAAACTAAAAAACAATACACACTTTATATTTAGCTTGTTATTCCAAGAACCCTGTCTAGAAAAATGACATTTTTATCCGATCACAAGTCCATGATGATTCATAAGCAACCTTAAACCCTTACAAAGGAAGATTTATTTTGCTCTGCCCACCTTTATGACAAATCTGTAGTTTAAGCTTTCTTTACATTAAACCCACATATCTGCATGATTTGCTGAAAAAAAGGCATATTTAACTGAACAGCTTTTCCAAAGATTACTCTCATATTTCACATTTACCAGTATCATACAATAATCTAGACACAAAGTATACTTTAACAGAAATAACTGTATAGTATACTTTTATAAATGTAATTAGTCAGAAACAGGCAGTGGAAGTATTATGCTACAAAAAGATTTATTAGCAGATTAGTGGTTTATATATATATATATAAAAAATATATATAAAATAAGCTGCTGAAACACAATCCTGGCTCAGTGAGCTAAAAATTAACTGTAACCTGAAATACTTGGTTTGCTTTTCAGGTAAATATCACACCCACATACAAGTCTGAGATGTAATAAAAAGTGGTTAAACCAAGAGGTCCACATAATTACGATCACAGCAAAACCAACAGAAATTTTCACTTTGAACGATAACACCAGGGTAACTGTAAACAGGGGCAATGAGATGTCCTGCGCAATCTGTGCACCACTGAAAGTCCTGTTGGGATCACAGTCACCTGCAACTTCATGTCTTTAATCCTAATATATGTTTTTGATTACTAACACCGAAAATATGTCCAAAAATATTCAAGAATTTGGAGGAAGAGGAGGGTGAAGAGCAAACTGGTTATTAATTTCCAATGTAGAAGAGAATTTTTCTCCTTCATGCTTCTTTCCTTGTACTAGCCTTATTGGCACAAGTCAATTTTATGTACAGCATATTTGGTTTGTTAAGAAACAGTATGAAAAACAAGAATATATGGTCATATATTTGAATATGTAGCTACAGCAGCCTACTACAAAGAGGAGTCCTCAGCAAGTTTACTAGCTTTTTGCACATGCATAAATGTGACATTTCATACAACTAAGTCTTTTTAAGAATTAGGGTTTTAAGATTAAAATGTATCAATTTAGAATGAAATTATACAATCCATGTTAACAAAGGAGTACGTTGGGGAAAAAAACAGTAAAAACATAGCTAAATACACTTTATCTCTTACTCATCCACTTTATGAGACTAGAATAATATTTTTGGATGTCAGCCTCCTAAAGAAGCGTAAATGAGTAACTTTACCCCTACTTACCACAAGGAAAGTGAAAAAATTAACTTACCTTTAACACTTTTTCTGTTAACATCAGCTCCTTTTTCAAGTAAATATTCAGCAATTTCTTTGTGGCCTTTGTAACATGAGATCATCAAGCACGTATGCCCATGACGGTTTGATACTTCCAGGTCTGCTTTGTGCTCCACAAGATATTTTACTATTTCCAGGTGACCATCAAAACAGGCAGCTCTAAGCGGCGTTGAATTTGTCAGAGTTGTATTGTTGACAGATGCACCATGATCTAACAGACACTGAACCACCTTCAAGTGGCCAGCCGCCGATGCTGCCCATAATGGTGGAGCCCCCTCAATGGTCTCACCATCAAAATTCACTGAACCACCAACTTCTATTGACGCAGAGCAATGGTCCAACAAGTATTCCACCATGTCAAGGTGACCATAACGGGCTGCCATCAGAAGTGGTGTGGCACCATTGGTTTTCTCTGACATCAGTAGGGCTACCTCTTCTCTTGTTTTGCTTGCCAGTAACTTGGAAAGGAGCCGCAGCTTGCCATCACGAGCTGCATTGAACACTGCTGTCTTTAGATCCATTTAGTCTGTACCTCTCTGCTTCTTGAAGGATACACGCCTGCCTTTTTCAGAGTCAAAAGCTTACTGGAAAAGCACAGCCCAAACAGAATGTCCCCAGCTTCTTCTCAGATCAGTTTCATCTAGATGGGACAACATGGAGACTCTGAACAGGGCTGTGCTTGTTATAAATCTGCAAGAGAAAGAATTGTGGATGTTTTCACCTCCTACTTCTCGAACAAGTAACCGCAACTGTATTTTTCTACAGCTATACCCAAACAACTCGCTGCTGTGGTGCGCCGACGTCCAGCTGCCTTCCTCGGGACCCCCCCGGGCTGCGCGATGCCCCCGGAGGAAAGCTCTTGGAGGGGAGGGGGCTGATCCTACCAGCGCGTTATCCATACCAGCCGCAGAAAAATCCTCTTCTCTCTTACATCGGGGGGAGCCGTACCCTCGACTTGTTTGGAGGCGTAGCCTAAGGAAAGCCCCCCCACCCCCCCCTCCCCCAAGG